GTTGAGTCCACCCGTTGAGGGAGGTACTTTAAAGTGTCTCTCACAAGATCCAGAACAATATCATCATTGGTTATGTTCGAGCTGTTATAAAAATGATAGATAAAAAAAACACTTCAACATGTTGAGACTTCGCTTACGGACAACTTCCTTAGGCGTTCACCTCCCACAAGAGGACACAGTCAAGGAACCAGTCAAACAAGGTAGCTCTCCTAAATGGAGACATTTTGAGGCAATAAGGTTTGTCTAGAGTTAGGTATTAATAATTTATACTCCTAGGTTACAAGAGACGTTGGGAGAGAAACGTGCTTTGCGGGAGACAACGACAAAATAATCCCGGTCAGATGCAATTCTGGAGCGCAACCCAATAACCAATAGTACATCCGCTCTCTCACTGAAAAAGACCTACTAGATAAAATTCAATTGCTTTATTTAGATGACGTTTTCCGGTGACTTCAGCACCATAAACACAGATTACGTACCCGACAGCCGTCGTGAGCCTTGGTTGAGCTGCTAGAAGGTCGGCTATAAGAGCTCTACCTTGGTTAGCAAGGAAGGCTGTGTCTGCATTCTGGTCCATTCCGAAGAGTTCGGGAGCGTCCACAGTAGGCAGGTTTTCAACGTACTCACAGCAGACTGACAACGAGATTTCAGGGGGTGGTGGACGGTACACCTGTCATGTATAGAAGATGATATTGTTTGTGAGTGGGAGCTCGAAACCAGACCTCTCCGTTTATTGGAAGAAACCCTCGGCCAACGTTATCTGAACGGGTCTTTCAGCAGAGTTGAGTCAAGTCCGGCACGTCATTTAAGCAGTGTGGGTTAAACGAAATGTGAACTGAATTTTTCGTGTCTTGAGTTTCGTTTATAAACTGTTTAGCTTGAATGACCATGTTCCATTGGATTCACCAACCAGAGTTTCACACAACACAGCAGCAAAGCCAGAATAGCGCGTATCTTAAAATCATTCAAAAAAAATAACATACCTTTTTACAGATTCGGTTATTTTAAACCTTTCCCAGCTCAGAAAACAAAGAAAAACTTACACGTAACTCTCAGATTTACGTTTAAGATTCAAATTGGTATGTGGTGTTCGGCCATTCTCTCAATAAAATGTCCTTTCGGCTTCTTCATAACCATTCGGAAAGTTTTCTAGGGGCTACGATAGGCTGCAGTCTTAAAGGGACACAGTCAGCTGGCGCACATGCGCTTTAGACACCATTTCATAGGTAATTTGCATATCACAGAGACGCGATCCGTACTGTTTTAACCAAATGTGATAAAAGTAATATCATAGGATGAGCAAAAGCACACTAAAAAACAGGTTTTTCAGTAAACGATTCAAAATCAAGCAAAACAATGCGAAGATTGAAGCGGATTTCTAGAGGTACTTTTATTTCAGGTTAAGGTGAACTTTTTTCAAAGTGAGAAAAACTAGTGTCCAGGTCAGCGCGGTCCCAAAGCTAACTGTGTCCCTTCAGAGTCCAAGGTTTCAGAAAAAAAACAACAAAACAAAACAAAACAAGACAGAGGACAAGAGAAACACTTACATAATCCACTGTGTACCCGTAGCTTTCTTGTAAGGCATCTGGAGAATAAAACTTTCCCAGGATGCTCTGAAGGCAGCGTTGGTCCCAGTAATCTGTGACTCGGCCGCCATACACAATGTCACCTGTAAGATACCTAATAGCTTTCCAAGGCACTTCCTGATGCTCCGTAAGAAGCATGTGCAGCATCAAAATCGAGACCTGCGGCATAAGGAGTAAGAAGTGTTTCGCCTATTGGTTTTCTGTAGAATAAAGCGCCTAGGAGTTTTCAACTCTTACTGAGCAGGACTAAGAGAAAACGTAGCGCAGGCTATTATTAAATTGTATGTTACGCGACGCTAACCCTCAACATTTATGTCATTTCCCATGTCTATGAAAAGCTAATTAAAAATGATTACGATGATTTCGCAGAACATTCGAGCAATAATGGCAAAAAAAACCCTCATGGCATGGTAATATTGTGAATACAGCTAAGAAAGAACTTATCGAGACTTTAGCTCTAAAGCTGACCCCGTAAGGGAAAATCGAACTTGAAGTTATCCATATTTCAATTAAAACAGACGTTTCGCGTTAGTTAAAACACAATAACACACGCTGCCTGGCGTTAACTGGCTAACTGGCTAACGCTAACTGGCTGCCTGGCTCCGCTAGCCCCTATGGTTATTCCAGGCAGCTAGTGCTCTAATTTTTACTTTTAATATTTTCATTGAAATTGTATTTTTTTTCTTTAGCAAGAGTGAGTACAAATAAAGATTGATTGATTGATCGATTCATTCATTCATTGACTGATTGATTGATTGATTAACGCATTTAGCATTTTTACGAGGTTTGACATTAACTTTCTCGAGAATGCTTGAGAATTTAATCGCGGGGTCACTTAGAGAGGAATGAACTAAAGTGAGTTGTTTCAAATAGTATTCAAAAAGTTACCTTACTATGAGTAGATTTTTAGTAAATAATTTTTGCACTTATTGCTCGAACTTCGAGCGAAATCCGTAGAATTTGACGCCAACCATTTGATATAGCGCCTCTCTATTTGATGCGACACGATGATTTAGACCTGAACTATTTAACACTGTCTAAGCTTTTTGTTATGGAATTACTTGGAACTATTGATCTAGTGTTTAACAAAAGGCTGAAAAATAAAAAAACGCTGAATAATATAGCCTTAACACTGGTCTAAGATAAATCTGTTTTCATTTCCAAAGAGAATAAACGAAACGTTTATCAGAACTGCGGAAGAATTGGAAACGAGGGCTGAGCTACCCGAAGTTTGACCTGACAATGCGAAAATGTCCCAGGTTTACACTTTCGACATCGACGATTAGCATACATATAACCGGTGTATTTATCATGTGTTTCGAGAATGTCTGAGCCATTTCACGATTAATAGGACCATCTGTTTGCCTAGAGCTATTTGACTTGTAATGTTTGTAATAAGTGCTGGCAATAGTCTATAAACAAACGAACGGCAAATACCTCGAGATCTGAAGCCGTGAACTCATACGGGATATTCCATCCCAGAGCTCCGAACTTCTTTCTTTCATGGACAACTGCATTGAAGAAACATAAACCAAACAGAAGTCTCTTCCATGCAGGCCCAGGCCCCGAGTCTTCCCAGACAGACTCGGTCACCACGCCACCCACTCCCCCTAAGGAGCGTAACAGGTTGGCTTTCATGCCTGGGGGAGGTTCAACGGTCATCTACAAGAAATTAAAAACCATTAGTAAATTCCTCTAACTAATTCTGTGCCAAATGTATGAAGGCAAGTTAAGAGAATTCATATGTCAATCACAGGTCCGTGGAGGTATAATAGAAAGTAAATACCTTGAGCCCAGCTTGTAAGATGGAGACTGGAAAGGATGGATCTGGTTTGGAGCTCAGCCACATTCGGAAGTTTGGATCTACCTCTGTTTCTGGACGAGATATTCTGAAAATTCCCATAACAAAAAACGTTATTTATACTGCTTTGAGCAGCCTTACCAGAAGTTGATTCGAGAGCGATTCACGTCTATTTCTAACGTGCATCTTAAGCTGGCTGACAACAGTTTCCAGCACTATCCAACAGCCGGTTATACTTCAATGGTACATTACTTCCACTCTTTATCAAGTGATGTTACAATATTGCTATCGCACAAATGCCCAATCGTTGATGAAGACGCTGTGGCACAATAGGTTACCATAGTAACGGTACAACCGATTTAAAAACCCTTAATTCTAGTTTTAAGTGCTTTAAAATGTCATTCAAAACCAAGCAATGAAACTTAAGGTGTGAAACTGCATGAAAAAGATGCAAACTGTGACGTAATAAAAAAATTATGCCCTCCCCCAAGATGACAATATTGATACTCTCCCCCTCTCCCCTCACCTTCTCACAATCATCTGAAGGCGAGGCATAAATGAAGCGGCGTGATGACAATTCTGCAAGAAAACCCATTTTCCTTTCTGTTGGTACGCCTTAGTGATAGCTTCCTCAGCTCTAGGCCCTTGACCCCTCCCCAGTGAAATCATGTCCAAATGCAGCGCACTTCCACGTGTTTCTCTGGCAAAGCGCATAAGCTGTGAGGTAGGGTCTGAACCTGCAAACAGGACAAAATAGTTCACAGCGGTCATACGCAAAAATTCGACACCACTTCAGGTTTTTGTGGCCACGAAGTTTGCAAGACTTTTAAGTGAAGACTTTCGTAAGAAAACGTTATAAAATAAGTAGTGGTAAACCAAATTACGAGCCGATAATTAGGTGGAAAACATTATATTACCTATATGTATGCAGTGTATAAAATCCTCATATGGACGTTCATTTTTTTAGCATGAGTGCGTGAAAAAATATCATGTTCACATTTCATGTAAGATCGGCGTTACACAAGTCACAAACTTACTCAATACGTGACTGTATGGTCTAGTTCCCACTTGCTTAAGTTATGTTTGCAGTGTGAACATCCTGACTTCATGACATAATAGCAACATAACAGCATGAACATGACGATATAAGGAAAAACTGATCTTTTCTTTGTGAATTTATGTCCATGCTCAATTACCAACATAAGCTATTATGTCGTTATGTCATAGACTGTTAGCAATATAAAGGATTGTAACGCGGCAGTAATACATTTTAAAAATTACATTGTAATTTAATTTGCTATTGAATCCGTTTACAAAAAAAAACAACAACAAACAATTACCCGGAGAGAGTATAAAGATGAGAGGTTTCCGATTGTTAGACTCTTCAAAAATCTCTTGCAGATCAAACCCAACACTCGTGACGAATTTCGAGCCCATTCTCTCGAGAACAAATAACCTGACGGACTCAACCAGGCACTCGGGCCGTAAAACTTTGACAATGATAAGGCGCTGGAAACTGGTGAGAGAAGAGGCGTCCCAGCCAAGATGAGGAGAATGGTCTCTACCTGTAAAACGGTGAAAATCAGATATTGAATTCCACACAGTGGAAACTGTTTGGTACAATTCGTTTCTCAGTGAAAACCACTCCAAATATTACGCGCAGTTTGTCCCTTATGTGGAGCGGTTTTCCTTGCGTGTTAAGGGTTTCAAAAGTAGATCGCGTTTTCGTTGGTTTGCATTTCTACGCTTTGTGATTGGTTTAAGAAATTCGCGCCACTTTCTTAAGCAATCACAAGTTAAGCGAGAACCAATCGTAACTCGCTTGCACAGGTTTTCCCGCGCTTTTTGTCGGCTACGCGTATTGGCTTTGAGTCACTGGATTGTCTGCGTCCTTTGTGATTGGGTAGATTGATTACTTTCGTTTCACGACATTCAGTTGAAAACCGCTCTAATTACTTCTTCTTTCTGAATGGCACACAAACGCTAATAGGGTTTTTTACCCTCTGATAAAATTTTAAAAGGGACTCCAAGTAACTACTGGAAACAGTTTAGCTGTTACCATTTTTTTCCAAATCTTATGATCAAATTACGATCATTTAAAACATTATTTTAATTTCTCTTAAACAGTCACTGAAATCTTTGCCCAAGGTCGCCGCTATAGAGAGGTTCACAAGATATTGATACTCCGTGACAGGAGCGAAATCTTTTGATGTTGCGTGACAACTGTTGCAATCAGAATGACATTACGTGACATAAGTGAGATCTCCCAATATTGGATGACAGTTGTTAAAAAATGCATGGCATTGCGTGACACAAGTGAGATATCCTGATACTGCGTGACAGTTGTTTAGACATGCATGGCATTGCGTGACATAAGAGAGATCGTTCGATTATCGTGGGGCAAGTAAATTGACACTACATACCGTCTGCTGGGGTAGCTATTTCATCCGGGAGCCTTGGTTCGTTCTCTAAAAACGTAAACGGGTTTTCACTTGCCGAGAACTTGCTCCAAAAGGCGCCATTTACAGCGATGTTACTACACAGCCCAGCAAAGGCAGGAATCGAGGCTGACAGCTGAAGGCATTCCTTCCACTTAGACTCGTTGATCCACTTGGCAGGAGACTTGTTCATTTTAGACATGTACTGACCCATCGTCCCGGCTGCTTTCACATGAGGTGCTGCAAAACAAATACGGGGTATCTAGTGAGAAACACTTCGATACCCGGGGTACCCCTACAGAAGTATCTACCCTCCCCCACCCCCGCTGAAAATTATTGAACAAACCAATCCCGTTTCCAGAGGCCGCGTTACAACAAGAAATGGAGACCTCTACATGAAATCAAAAGGTGCGCCATCATCATCATCATCGTCGTCGTCGTCGTCATCATCATCATTACCAACGCATGTTCAGAAACTGTTACTGAACTCGAACCCTTGCGCACGGTCAAAGCGAAACCAGAATTTTCTGGTTTTGAATTTTGATTTCGTCCAGAGCGTCGCGTGTTCGGTCACCACTGATCATGGCCGAAAAAAAACACATTAACTGATAGTGACTTTTTTCGGTTCAGTACCCTGAAAGGTACCACGATAGCCCCTGCTGTGGACCTTTGGCGGCTGAACACCCTTAGAGGTACGAAACCCACTTTTTTAACCCCTAAAAAAGGTACAGCGAGCACCCCCGGACATGGAGATCGTTACCCTNTCCACTTGGCAGGAGACTTGTTCATTTTAGACATGTACTGACCCATCGTCCCGGCTGCTTTCACATGAGGCGCTGCAAAACAAGAACGGGGTATCTAGTGAGAAACACTTCGATACCCGGGGGTACCCCTACAGCAGTATCTACCCTCCCCTAACCCCCGCTAAAAATTATTGAACAAACCAATCCCGTTTCCAGACGCCGCGTCACAACAAGAAATGGAGACCTCTACGTGAAATCAAAAAGTGCGCCATCATCATCACCGTCGTCGTCGTCATCATCATCATCATTACCAACGCATGTTCAGAAACTGTTACTGAACTCGAACCCTTGCGCACAGTCAAAGCGAAACCAGAATTTTCTGGTTTTGAATTTTGATTTCGTCCAGAGCGTCGCGTGTTCGGTCACCACTGATCATGGCCGAAAAAAAACACATTAACTGATAGTGACTTTTTTCGGTTCAGTACCCTGAAAGGTACCACGATAGCCCCTGCTGTGGACCTTTGGCGGCTGAACACCCTTAGAGGTACGAAACCCACTTTTTTAACCCCTAAAAAAGGTACAGCGAGCACCCCCGGACATGGAGATCGTTACCCTTTCTACCTTTTTAGCAAAACTTTCTTATAAAACAGTTGGGAGGACATAGGATTTAATCACATATCAACCTGTCCTCAATGAGCCCCCGTCAAACTCCTCCTCATTCTCGAGCCTGTCAGTAATAGCAGCGACCGCTGATCCACGTAGGAACCAATTCCACTCGGCTTCATCGATAGGTGCGTCGCGTGACTTCACCATAGCGTGACGCATGATCCCCACGCACAACATGAAAGAAAACGTTAGTTTGTGACGCGCGAACAGTGCATACGAAACGATTCGATATACGCTTTCGGTTAAGAGTTCCACCAAGGCTTGGAGGTACTCGGGCAACGCGTTTGCATCTTTCGGTCGAACGACGGTTTGTCGTCTTTTGAAGCCGGGACGGTTCACAGCCGACATGGCGGATTTGTCCTTACGGATTGGCCTAAGCGTTCCCGCGCTGCCAGGCGCGATTGGCGACTCGCTTCGTTGCGCCTGCGCAGGATCTTGAGCCGACTCGATGCAATTTTCGAAGAGGTCTGTGAACCAAGGGAGAGAGAACTGGTACATAATATCCACGTAGGCAAGGTCGGTGAGGACAAAGTACAAAACCGCCCCGCGGGTTGCCACGGGAAGGTACTTCTCGCGGCTCTGGTTAATCTTCTCCTCGGTCTCTTCTGATTGGACGACACGGGAATGAATGACGTCTGCCATCTTCTTGCTGTCGTCCAAGGTCGTGATAAGGTCTTCGTCGTCCAGGATATTACCGCGCGACGAATGAAGCAGGGACAAGGAACGATCTTCCAACTCTCTCAACTTGTACCGATCTGACACCAAGCTATGAAGCAGTTCCTTCCTGCTATCCTCCAGTTTAGGTCGCTCCTTTTGTACAACGCGTGACAACAGCTGGTCCTGCAGTCCATCTAGCGTGACGGTGAAGTCGATGACCGTGACTTTGATACACACTTCCGGTAGAAAGTGTGGGTTGGCCAATGGTGTGCTCATGTATAACCGGAAGTTGCTATTGTATTCTATCTCGGCGTCACCGATCAACATGATGGCTTGATTGCCTCGCTGTATTGTGTTTTTACCCAGGATTGGATTGAGTGATGGGTCTAAGTTTTCACTTAAATCCTGCAAACAAATAAAAAAATATTTAGGTGATTTTAAACTCCGTGGCCATTGAGGTTTTGTAGAGTAATTCCCTTAAAGGTAGCCGGGGAAGAAGGCAGCAATCTTTTCAGGTTGCCTTTGCAACCTGCCACTGCCCCCTCCAGGCATCCATATGCACAGCTGAAGAAGACGGCGTGGCCGAGTAGTACGGGTGCTGGATTTGAAATCTGGAGGTCCCTGGTTCAAATCCTCCTCCTTACCGTTATCTGGATTTGTTCTCGGTAGCCCCGGGTTCAACTCCTCGACCGCGTTGTGTAAATAGCCAACTGGTCAGCCTGCCAGCAGTTGGGATTCTTAATAGTTTATGTTCTGTTTGTAATATTTGTTTCATTATTCAGTGTCCTCAATTAGCACAACAGTGCTAAATACATTTGACATTTAAATAAAGTTATTTATTTTTATTTTATTTTTACCCAACCCTGAGAGACCAGTGTGCCCAAATAAATCCGTACCAACGAACACTTTGTGTGGCATCGTCCCTAAAGCACCCCACATATTGGTAACCTCGTTGGCTTAATTTCATTTAGCGTCATTAAACACAATGAAAATTTCAAACAATACGGGTTTGGATATCAATTAGACCAAACCTACCTCGACCAACACAGGTTGTCCTAACGGTATAGCGCTCTCCAACGTCCTAAGGTAACTCGGATCAGAGGCCTTGACAATCTTGAGCCCGTTATCCTTTTCGGTCTGCATTATCCACTTGGACGCTTGCTCCTGCGGGTCGATCAAAAGTGGCCAGCGGCGGCAATGCTTAATGAGTGTGGCGTTCTCGACGGAGTGTTTATCGTGAGGCAAACCCTTGTTCAGCCATTTCTGAATCTCGATTGGTTCCGAAAGAAACTCGGTCAGTTCAAAGTTGTCGGACACCGGGATGTTCTCTGCTTTACACAGCTGCAGCCACTGGGAGAGTAAACGACGACGGTAAGACGACGTGAACGCTCCAAGATACGCCACAGCTGCTGATGATACCAGAGTGTCACCTATCAAACCCTGCGCATGCTCTTCTTGAGAGTTCACTGACTTGCTCCAGCGAACCTGTGGGAAAATAAATAATTACAAGAAGCCATTGTACATAAGAGCCCATTTTACTGTTCGGTGCTCCTTACTGGTCAGGCCTTTGAACAGAAGCGAGGCTAGAGTTGACTTTGCCATGACACAAACCTTGTCGTTATACCTCCCAACTTAAATACGTTTTCCGATTGGAGGAGAACGTATCGTGCCGTTGGTCAAAACTCACTAACTCCCTAGGGAAACAGCTTGAACTTTCGACTCGCACGTGATCAGGTCGTGCTCCTTGAAACCGCGGCAAATTTGTGCGCCAGCCGGCGTCGAGCAAACGATTTTTCGCAGTTTTTTTCTATTTTTGAGTTGGGAGGTATAACAAAACACTTAATGACTGGCTCCGCGGGAAACAGTGAGTTTTGCTTCCCCTAAACCCTCCATGTCTCCCTCGGCTTCGACTCGGGGAACATTGACGGTCTCGGGGAAACAAAACTCACTGTTTCCCTTGGGGTCAGTCATTAAGTGCTTATTACTTTTCAAAAGTTAATTATCCTGTTATCGTGGTAACCATAGTTTCAAATCTCATGTAAACAGTTCACAACCCATTTCCTGCACTGTACCTGCTCCTCAGCCAACGCTGCTGTCAGTACTGAAGCCCTCTGCAGCCTGATAATAGTAAGCTCCTTCTTCTGTTTCAGTTCCTCAAGCTGGGCTACACTGTCATCGTATTGTTGCTGCAGTAACTGAAGTTGCTCTTGGATCTTCAGAAGGCTCAACTACAAGAGGTAAAATATCAACCTCAAAATTCTCCTCACTGCTTTTAATACGTATCCTATGATTTATCTTGAGAGAATTTCATGTTGTATTAAAGACATTCAAGTGTTACATTCTGTGTCCATAATAGAGTCAAAACATAGGGGAAGGTTCATATTTTATAAGGTAGGGGGGTTGTGCACCGGTTGGATTAATTATGAATTTTGAAGCCCCAGTAGGGTTTAAATAAGAATTGCCCTAATTAGGATAAGAAACAGAAAAAGTGAAGGATTCTGGTAGTTGTAGCCAAATGATGCCAACATGCAAATCACCTACTGCTTTCACAGAAATCTCATTCTGACACAGCAACCCACCAGCTAAAACCTTTTAAATAAATTCTATCTCCGAGTAACGAATTCACTGCTCTGCACTAGAATAGCTATCCATACCTGCTTTTGTTGCAAGTTCTCTTGGGCGATGGCAAGAGCAACTTGCGCCTCTTCGCATCGCTTCTGTTTGGGTTGAACGATCTTGTACACCTCGGCGTAATTCTCCAGCGCTAGAACCCACTGACACATGGACTTACACGCCACTGAAATCTTACCAACTGCCTCTGGATTAAACTCTGGGTGTTGAGTATAACGCTTCAGACGGGTGAATACCTGGAGTGACAGGGAAATATGGTCGTTATTTACCAGCTGTGAGGTCCAACATAAAACACAGGCCAATTAGTTTGTTTTAGATATGTAGGTTATTGACCTAGCGCAAGGTCAAGATGGCTGGATATTAACCAAGTTATTTTTTTGTGTGTTTACGGACCAAGACAGAGTCGAGGTCCATAAACACGCGAAAAAAAAAGAACGAGGCCAATATCCAGCCATCTTGAACAACCAAGCTTGGTCAATAAAGGATTGATCAAATGGTAAAATTAAAACTATTTTCATGCGGGACGCAGCGGGTAATCCCGAACGGACAAGATAGCGCCATCTTGGCCGCTAGGGTAGCCAGTCACAGCGCAGGGTTTCGGTTCATTTATGCCCGCTCACGGAGCTAGCCATATAATGTGAAATCTCGAACGAACAACCTTGGAAAACAAATAAGATTTTCCACATCAAGAAACCAAGTCCTCTTTATCACGCTCTTCCTACAGGACACTTCACAAATCACTAAGATGAAGTACTAACCTTATCAGGGACGCTGTTCTTGTCATAACCAACAAGCTTTTTCAAAAACCCCGGATCACCCAACAGCAGCTTAGCCGAGTTCCAATCCGGCTTCTGCTGCAGCAGCACACACACTGCAGACAGTACTGTCATGACCATCGTGGGCGGCTTGGTATACACTCGGATCTCAGAGATGTCGGACTTGTCCAGAGCATCCAGCGCCGCGATAGCTGCCTCCAGCTGCGGCAAAGCTCCTTCTAGGTCCCGCTGAGCTTCGTCTGCTATCGCCTGGACCCTCACGGCTTCTTCGTTCATAATCTCCTCCTCTTTTTGTACCACACTGTGTACTTGATCTACGGCCTCTTGGTCGCTGGCTAGCTGCTCCAGAAGCTTTTCTGTGTCCTGTTAGCGGCAAGAGGACAGACAGCTTATTAAGGTTACAGTATACCATCAGATCGGCAATTTTCTTCAAATTTGGATTTTTGGTTCAAAGTAATGGTCGAAGATTAATCTCTAATTTCTGAAAACAATTTTTGAAAAAGGCTAAATATTGGCGGAGAAATGGCGGTTTTACGTTTTCACCGGAAGAAAAAGTTTACCTCTTGATTGACAAAAAATTGAAAAAAACTTAATATNGCTTCCTGTTCAACTTGGACAGATATAAACGCACAAACTCCATGTAGCTTGTAGGAGTGGTGTAATACCTGCGTCGCAACTCGTCATAGAACTTTTGCGTTTCCTCTTCCACGCTCTTGTGAACTTCAACGAAGACCTTAGAGACACTTGCTACTAAAGAGCTGTTCGATTCCTGATCTTTGCTTAGTTCGGAAGTCTCCAAAAAAGAAAGCGCAACAGACTGAAGGGCGTCCAGCGGCCACTTGTCAAACCAATCAATAGTACAGCAGTTTATCAGGGGTGGGTACAGGCGGCAACGTCGGCGGAAACTTGATCCCGCGGGGGTGGTGGAGAAGACTATGTGAAGCTTTTCTCTGACGCGTTGAAGGAAGAATTGAAAGATAGCTTCCTTTGTGTCTTGGATTCCCTGGCGGACAGCCTCTCTCTTCAGATCCAACGAGATACGCTCAAGGTCTTCGTGATCGAAAAGATTGGATATTTCTCCTCCACTGAGAAAACTCGTGACATCTTCAAGGAATTCATCCTACAAGAGGAAATTAAGAAGCAGTCAATTCGAATTCTAACATTCATCGGTTGGACTGAGATGGATGAAACTGTGTTTTTCGTCAGACAGTGTCGCTCTTGAAGATATGATTGATCATCGCAGTTATACAAACAACTTAAGCAGCTGTGAAATTAAAGCCTGAAAAAAATTCAGGCTTGAAGGAGATTCGAACCCATGACATCTGCGATACTAATGCAGTGCTCTACCAACTGAACTATCAAGCGTTGAAATCCTTTAGGGTCGTTCTTGTAAGTTGTGCCCCGTCCACACTACGCTGGAGGAATTTAAAAACGCATCAATCACCGGTCATTTTGGATTTGTGTTTGAGGAAACCTCGCNGACACGTAACATTTCATGTTGAATTATCAACTTGAAAGTCGAATTCTCAAGTTGAATTTTGGCGGGATTGCTGCGCCTTTGGTGACTCAACATTCGACTTGGAGATTCAAACTTCATCTTTCGCTGACAGCTCATGTGTCAAGATTATTGTTGACATGTTAACATGAATGTTGATGGATAAAGTTAAACGTTGAACTGTCACTTTGAAAGTTGATGTTTAAAGTTTCAATGATTGTGATGCAAAGTACAAAGTTGAAGAGTGAAATATGATGTTGATGTTTGCCAAGTTAATTGTTAGACTGTCAAGTTGAATGTTGTGATCAGCTTTGATTTTTGGCGGGGATGGAACTCCATAAGTGTGGACGGTAGGCCTAACCGTAGAATTACAATTGCGTTTTCAACTTTCTCCAGCGCAGTTTGGATGCTGCCTTAGTAAGGCGGGTTTTTGCATTGCACATTTTCATTACGACCACAGACTGCACAAGTTAAAACGACATTTAGTAATCTTTTTTTCTAACTCTTCGCAGACTGAGTAGTATTACTATTGACTTTCAAACGCGTTTTAGATTCTAACTTGACAAAAAGAGAAAGCTTTACGGAGGGTCTTAACTGAGAATTTGGTCAGAGCTTAAATGTCAGTTGAGAAATAACACATTTTGTGATTAAAATTTAGTGATAAAACGGAATGAAATTTTTACAGCAGTACAGGAAGGAAATCGCGAAAAATTCCTCAGATAACTTAGATTCCAACAGGCCCCATTTGACCCTCTTTACAAGCAGTAAGGAAAATTAAGTTTGTGTCTTAATGACTTATTTCTAAGACTAACCTTGACTAAATTGTCTGTCAGGAACAGCACGGTGTTGTCACCCTTCACTCCAGCCCGTACACAGCCCTTCTTAAGATCATCTCTAAACTCGACCAAGCTGTACGTGCGGGACACATAAGGTCTTAAGAACGCACAGTCTTCAATGAACGCGGCTAGCTTAGCGACCGTGGCCTTGCCTGTGCCCCCCACCCCTACCATCTGCATGTGTTTGCCGGGCTGACGAAAAACACGTGCTGCTCGGGTCACGTGCTGGATGGCCATGTCGAAGAATACAAAACGGTGCTCCACGCTACCCCCGGATAGGTTGGCTCTGTCGTAGTGTTCCTGATAAGGCAAAATAGATAGACACTGACTATTCAATTGTGTTCTTGTCTGAATTTCCGAAATCTCGAAAAAGCAAAAATGTAGCAAGGAAATTAAGAAGGAATCCCCAGAAGTTCGAAGTTCAAAAACTTCGATCATCGTAATGCAAACTGTGCAACTGTTTTAAAGATCGTCTCCAAAGAAATCATTTCTAACAACACCAAATATCGAAACCGAAAGAAACTGATGACAAACTTTTACTTGTGTTTGCACAATTTCTCTGGACTTTGAATTTCATTTTCTCGAGCTCCCTAAAGGTAATTGTTTTTGGTGCTATTTGAGACAACTATTTATATCTTTCGCTTTTAGAAAATGCAAAATGGACAACACTATATTTAAAATTATTCTGATACAAGGTTTTTGTCCATTAAAAGTTGAAATTGCTCGATTTCCTATCAGATTTCGTCTTAATATTTCCTTCCACAATCCATTACTACAGTGAACAGTCAAAATTCCATTCAAGACCGAATTTAATGATTACCAAACAGACTAGAATCAAGTAAAGGATAAACAAAAAGAGAACAAATCAGGTTGGGTTCGAGATTTGAAAACGAAAGAAAAAAGATCGCATGAACTCACCTCTAAAATCTGCGGCAGTCGATCGTACTGCCTCGCAAAGCGATAAGCTCGAGCGTTGTTAGGAGAGCCTCCTTCTAGAAAGTCTCCAAAGATCAGCGGCGTTTTTTCCAGTTCCTCTGGAGTCCAGCGTGTTTTAAACCCGTTATGGAGCTGCTCTGACAGCACTTTGTAGAAGTATCGGCGGTCGGTGTCATTCGTGAGACGATCGTGCAACACTCGGGAGGCTTCGTGACCGAGAAGTTGTGCGCAATGGTCACGTGATGTGATGACGGATGGATGTGCTTGAAGTAAACCCTCTATTACCTGAAAAAATAACCCATTCACACCAACTTGTTAAACATGCTTTAAAGTGGTTTAACTAAACGAGGTCAAAATCAGTTGTTCATACTATAAAACACCCCACAACTTAACAAGGCAAAAACCTGTTTGATTAAAATATGTTACCAAGGTGGTTTGAAATTTGTCTTACCTTCCAATTCGCTTCGCTCAACTGAACGTAAATTATTTAATCCTTCAATTCCCGTAAATAATCAAGCAAACAAGAAATGTGGTAGGATTCGCAAGCGGATCCAAATTACGAGAAACTGGAAAGCGTAATTGACAAATTAGGCTAAAAACCTGAACCTGATTCAGTTAAACTAGTTTAGTTGGTATGAATGGGGTATAAGACTGTTTTTTTAGATAGCTGAAAAAAAAAAACACTTTAGCCCAAATGTTGAAGCTACAGTCTTGCTCGCCAAGACGTTACAAGGTAACGGCCGGAATACTATGGCAACTTGGTAAATTGGTGCCAGCTCAGGATTTTAGGGTAGAGCCTGACACACGTTTCACCCTAACCTGACGTCATGTTNACTTTATTTCTACGGTTAGGCCTACTGTCCACACTAATCCGTCACGAAAACGGAGCTTTTCGAAAACGCTCTTAAAACCGGAGGAATTTGAAAACGACGGCTTTTCGTTTTAGTCTAAACGGAAAACATTTTGAAAACGGAGCTTTTCGAAATGATGACGTCACGATAATCATGTGATTTCCTTGACCGGGGTTTCCTCAAATACAAATCCAAAATGGCCGGTGATTGTGGCGTTTTCAAGTTTATCCGGAGTAGTGTGGACGGAAACATTTGATGTGTTTTCAGAGTGAAACCTCCGTTTTCAAATTTCCCCGGGGTAGTGTGGACGGGGGCTAAACTTGCACCTTGAAGAGTATTATGGTATTTTTAAGAAAGGCCTATAAGGTACCTTCTTGCCCGGTCTTGGTCCCAGGACATCCCGTCCTCTCTTTACCAGCTTGGACTCAATGAAACTGAGAGTCTTGGCAGAACTTGTGTAAGCTGAGAAATGCATGGAATTGAAAACGACCTCAGCAGCATTCATGTCTTCTTTCACTCCGTCACCTGATGTGATCTCTATAATGCTGTCCACCAAGTTTTTCTTGCCGGCTCGAAAAACCGCACCCAGGATAGTTCCCGTACCAGCGCCAGTCCCTCCCGCTTGGGACAGCCGAACTAACGTGTCCTGGATCAAGGCAGTTTTGCCTGTACCGGTTTCTCCGGTTAGTAAAACCGGTTGGCCGTTCAACGCCATCAACGCGACCAGAAAAGCGTAACGCACCGTGTCAACGGTTGGGACAAGGGAACGATCCACTTCTATTTGGTTTTTCAGCGGCGGTGGATCGTCAAGCGCGTTGAGAGTATCTGAAATGGCAAACTGGCTAGAGACTGCTTTAGCAATGAGAGCCCGAGTAGAGGGGACTAAATTACTCCACAGAGCAAACTGCCCACTCTCCATGTCGATGTAGTAGTTNTAGTAAGTCAGAAAAACAACCTTTAGGAGCTTTTCACAATAAATTCAGTCATTTTTCCAAGTAATCACATAACAATTCAGGCACAGAGCCCTTGCCCGGGTACAAGCCGTCTTGACCTTGTACTTGGGCGCTAAACGGTATTTGCGTACATGGAGAACCCAGTGTCTGAAAACATCATTATTTTTTTGTCAGTGCCCAGGCATCCGTGCTCAGGCACCCGGCGTGAAAATAGCCTTAGTATCATTTAATTTCACCTCCAAATTTCTTCGTTTTTTTTTTTTGTTTTTGTTTTTTTAAAAAATAGAAAAGGACTATCCAAACAGTTCAAACCTTGGTATCATCCAAAACAGTGTTAAGATTCTCAATCCAGAGTGTGTCAACAGGACCATCCAAAACAATCCAGTTCCATGACACCGGTGTCTCCTGTCTGTTGACACCAATGGCTTCCTCCATCACAGTGGCTGATTCAACTACAGAATAGACAGGAACATATAAGAAACAGTACCAAATGAAAGTGCTGCTCAATAGCTCTTATTTGAATGGTCACACACTAGGGTTTCATCCACAGACTGAAATTTGGAACTTGCTGATCTCATCTCCGTGCACAACTAAAACAAAAATTAAATTCGACACAAAACAAATAATCCATATGAGTTCTCACGTTCATTGCTGTCTTCCATACTGATGCCTGAAACACTGGTCACAACAGACTTGGCTGATGAAGCCCTCGACAGCCTGCTGGGCGAGGCAGGTAAGGGTGTGTTTGACTGTTTCCGTCTCGCTCCCTGTATGGTACCTCTGCTAGTCTTGGCGTATTTACGGTATATGTGGGACAACAGACCATCTTTCCACTCCATAGTGGTCGGGTTCACTTCGCCATACAGCTCTCCTACTGTCACACATTTAGGGTTCAACGTGGACACATTGACCAAGCCACGCCTAATTTTGGTGCCTCGCTGTGTTGAGTGAAAACAATAATGCAATTGATTCCTTAGCGGGGTTTCCACAGACTTAAAAGTTAGAGCCACCTTGTACAACATAATAAACAGTACCACATGGAAGTACTGCTCAATAGCTTTCATTTGAATGGTCACACACTAGGGTTTTATCCACAGACTTAAACGTTAGAACCACCTTGTACAGCGTAATAAACAGTACCACATGAAAGTACTGCTCAATAGCTTTCATTTAAATGGTCACACACTAGGGTTTCATCCATAGACTTAAAAGTTAGAACCACCTTGTAAAGCATAACGAACAGATATCACAAAGGATGCAGACAATCTAGTGAACCAATCAAATCTCCAAGCGGTACACGCAGCTGACGCGAAGCGCGGGAAAATATGTGCAAGCAAGTCACGATTGGTTCTGGTTTTACTTCAGATTCGATGACAAAGTGGCGCGAGTTTTTAAACCAATCGCGTAACGTAGCATTGCAAAACCAAGGCAATAGGCCACGTTCGATAAATCAATATTTTAACATGGCTCCGAGGCTCTCAGGACAAACTTCTTTGTTTGGAGTTGTTTTCTTTGCATCCGAGTCTTTTTTGGGAATTGAGAGACAAAAGAAACTTAAAAAATTTACAATTTTGACCCGAAAGCGTCGGAGCCATGTTAGAATATAGATATATCGAACGTGGCCTATTGAGAATTACTTTTCACACTCAAATGAAAACCACTCTATAGAGCGTATGCACTCACGTGTCCAGTAGCCACGCAAGTTTATTGGAACAAAAGAAAGTGTTTACCTAAGGAAAGAGTTGAACTCCCACAGGACTGGTTTGGTACCTGTCTTGGAACACCAATATGACTGCCGTGACGTCACGTGCATACGCTCCACACAAGCAAATTTAGAGGTTAACATTCTTACCGTAAAAGACATCGTAGTCTTCAACGACCCAGTCTCCTCAGGGTAATCCCCAGTCCCTAACGGTTGCTGTTGTTCCCGCGCTTGAATGGTTGGCAGGACGACAAGCGCGCGCTTTAGGATCTGACGCGTGGTAGTTTTGCCGCCACCAGCCGGCCCCACAAGCATGACACCGTGACGAACTTGTAACGTGCTGTTTAGTTGGATCACCTTGTCGATCTGTGTGGGCCAATACTGGATGGACAACTCACCAAATGCAGCCTTAGCAGCTTTCTGCATGTTAGAAAAAGTTTGTGTTGATAATACCCCTCCCGCAGGCAAGAATAATTTATCGAGTTAACACAAACGAAATCACAACTGTGACGGTTCAATTTCTGTTGGAGAAACTCTGAATTTTGCGGCTAGAAAACGCATCAAATGTTTTCCGTTCACACTGCACCGGAGAAATTTGAAAGAACAACAATCACCGGGCATTTTGGATTTGTGTTTGAGGAAAATTCAGGCAGGAAAATCACATGATCATCGTTTTCAAAATGTTTTCCGTCCACACCAAAACGCAAAGATGACGTTTTCAAATTCCTCCGGTTTCGAGAGCGTTGTCGAAAAGCTCCGTTTATGTGATGGATTAGTGTGGACGGTACGTCTAACCGTAGAAATAAAGCTGCGTTTTCAAATTTCTCCGGCGTAATGAGGACGAAGCCCGATAAACATTCGCATGTCGCATTCCCACCAAGCTAAACACACAGATAACTCCCAGAAACTCTGCCTCCCGATAACTGAAACCTTCTAACTTTCCTTAAAGGTTCTAGTTTTTTTTCATTTTTTTCACAAATCACACTGATTTCACCTTGAGCAACTTGCTATCAGGAGCAGGTGGATCCATGCCAGGAAACAAGTCAGCTAAGATTCTAGTAAACAGCGGCAGGTCCTCAGCTACAAACTTTGGAATGTTCGCATCCTTGACCGCATTTATAATCAGGTGAGATTCCTCTTCTTCCAGCGACTCAGACTCCATATTGAGACTAGTGAGACAAACACACAGAGAGCAAAACACAACAGTTATGACACACAGTGGTCCTTAAAGGAGCTACGTCACGATTTGCGCATCTTCAAAAGTTTACCATATATTTTTCAAGTTCGTCGTTTGTAATCCGTGTCAATCTTCTCCATTCTTAACCATCTTTGTTCCTTTATGGTTTATTACTATCTCCTTGGTGTTCTCCTATCTTAGTAAACTACTCTTTTAAGGTTTCCTTCAATTTAAAGGTAATTTTGTATGTTGCCAAAATACCTTCAAAGTAAACTGTGGATTGTATAGAAACATCTGATCAAGGTTAAGCTTAAGCCTGATTTTCACCAGCGACGCAAACACAAGCGCAAGCACAATAATTCTTATTCCACCGTGAAAACGACCTTGACGCGGGCATAAGCACAAGCGCAAGCACAAGCACAATGTTCAAAATTTTTCCTTTTTCCTATGCTTGCGCTTATGCTTGCGTTTGCGCTACAGCAAGTGAAAACAAAATACTTCTCAGGCATAACACAAGCACAAGGATATTTACCACACGTGGTTGTGTTTGGCCACTGAAAACACTGGACCCAGATTACCTAGCGCCTAAACAGCTTGGAAGGTTCGGATGATTTTGCTTGTGCTGGTGTTTGCGTCGAATTTCGTTTTCACTTGGGTCATCCCTATTGCTTGCGTTTGTACATGCGCTTGTGCTTACGTCGCAAGTGAAAACCAGGCTTTAGTGACCCATAAGGAAGACAAACCAAACTTATAAAAGAAACAAACTAACAAAAGCCGGACATAACTTGGAAACTCTTAATAATAATTCAAATTCTCAAGTTTAAGTTTCGATTGAGATGATATATCAAATGTTCAACACCGTGTTTCATTACATTTCCAAGCACCTCGAATTTTGTCCTAATGCCCCGTTAAACGTGGTCTTTTCAATTATCTACTCACTGTTTGGATATGTGATGAAATACTGTTGTGTTTGAATTGTTACCATTTCGTAAGCGATTCAAACTTCTAACCCCCTTGGCCATAGAGAGGATGTTACCTTGCAGCCCTCCTGCGCTGTCCAGCCATGAGAAGAACCGATTTGATGGCGCGAAGTCCAAAGTCATAGTGATCCTGAATAAAGAGAGGAAGGATAAGGATTTTTTACTTACAATGTAACATAGATATTGTCCTTTGTTTTATACTACTTTCTGATTCATGTGGTGCTGTTATTATGTATGGTCATTTTAGCTTTTATGTCTGTAGATGAAACCGTAGAGTGTGGCCATTCAAATGAAAGCTATTGAGCAGTACTTTCATGTGGTACTGTTTATTATGCTGTGCAAGGTGGTTCTAACTTTTAAGTCTGCGGATGAAACCCTAGTGTGTGACCATTCAAATGAAAGCTACTGAGCAAAAGGTCGTTTTCACTTTCTACCCTGTAAAACCTAGTGTGTGACCATTCAAAGATAGTCCTTGTGGAAATGACTGAAAATGATAATCTGGTAAATTCATACTAACAGATCAAAGGTACCCTGCGGGTTATTGTCGAAATTTACCTGTTGAGAGAGCTGTTTGCTCGCCAGCTGATAAAGATTGACAACTTTTCTTGATAACAATGCAGCTGCCGTGAATCCCTCGGAGAACAAAATGATCTCAGCTATTAGAGCATAATCAGGCACCATCATGGCCACAGGACGGAACAAGGATTTCAAATTGTCAGGAAGTTCAACTCGACCTGCATATCTGTTAATGTATAAAAACAGAGTTCAATCCATCTATCCTCTCTAAATGAGGTGGTTTCGTAGCTGAGCATTAACACGTCACCCTTAGAATATCCTCCTAGGCGAGACAAGGCTCTTTATTAAAAAGAAACCGTGTCACGAATTTTAGGCAAATTTAGACATACATAGGAATATGGCCACCAAATTGAGTGACATATAAAAATAACCACTTGAAACAGCGAAGGAGCATTTCAATAACACAATAGACACAAAGGAAGGTACGGATGAACAGAAATTGAGAAAGATTCACATGGATTGCAATATGCAAAAACTGTTAGGCTATGGTTTGTCATTTTGATCCATAGAGGCAAATGCTTCCTAACATAAGTTTCACAGAGGGTATTTAGCAAAACTTAATAAAATAGACTAAACTCAGCGGTGACAGAGTCCGTTTAACATTACTAACCCAGGGTTCATTGTTATAAACGTTCCACAGTTGGCATTCAACTTGATGTCTCGTCCTTCAAACAAAAACCTAAACAAAAACGAAAAACACTTTGTTATAAGAAACAAGACTAGCAAATGATAACGTGCCAATTCGCAGGGCAAAAGACGCTCAACGTGTATACAGATGAGACCACAGTTCCAGGACATTTCCAAACACCTCGAATTTTGTCATAATGATCCATTAAACGTCATATTTTCAACTCTCTTCCTACTGTTTGTATATGTGATGAAATACTGTCTCTCGTGTTTATTGATTACACTTCCGTACGTAATTCAAACTCCTCAGTGGAGGCCCGATTTTCTTTTAAAAAATGACAAAAATTGAAAGCTCTCTCACCTTGTTACACCATTGTCTTTCGCTGTTTTAATGGAATGCAGCTGTTGAGCAATGACTGACAGCACTTCAACATCAATACGATTGAACTCATCAAAACAGAACCACGAACCCGACTGAGCTAAACCTGAGAAGAACTTGCCCATCATCTGTCACACGAATAAACGATCAGTATTTGGAATGATTCACTTAGTAGCTTGCAATAAAGACTTCACTTTAACTGGTACAGAAGTCTTTTTCTTTCAATTTTTATTACAATAATCACGAAACACGATTTAGGCCTTGGTAACACTAGCGACATGATGACATAAAGATATAATCACTTATGTTGGTTATGTGAACATGGACATAAATACATAAGGAAAAGATCAGTTTTTCCTTGTATCGCCATGTTCATGCTGTTATGCTGCTATTATGTCATTATGTCAGGATGTTCACACTGCAAACATAACAACATAACGTCCTTCCAATAATTCTTATGCCATTATGTCGCTAATGTTAACTGAGACTTGCATGATGATACTAACACTGGGCCATTTCCGAGTTACCTTGTACCTCGGGATTCTAAACAAGTGCTCGTGCAAAAACTTTCCTATTAAAATGAGATTTAATTACAGGAAAATGAACGTACTGGTGAAACACAGTTTTTACATGAATGCTTTTGTACGAAAACTCATTTTGACACAGTGACAAAAGGCAATTCGGGAATGGCCTATTACAACCTGATAGATTGACTGTACCTTTGGTAAGGAAAACAACATCTTACAGAGCCCTTAATGCGAATGCTAGCTTCATTTTTTAGAACAGCATAACAATAATTAAAAATTCTGAGCACTTAAAACTTAATTGTACTGAGCTAGGTTCGTATTTTGGCAAAAGGTGGTTGAGCCAAAATATCCATGGTGAGACTAAACTAACCCGATATGCCACTGAAGCATACCAAAAATGGTAAGAACCCAAATTTGGCCATAAATCGGGCCATACCAGGTCAGTGACTTGAAACTTTAGAATGTCAGGACGATAGACACGGCTTGTTTGGCCAATTGCAAATTCTGGTACAGTAAAATGAAAAAATTTCACCTTAAGTTAAAACAACCTCGAAGCATAAGTAATCGGAACCGTTTCTGTTACCTTGTAATCAAGACCTTCTGAACAGTTGAACACAAGACACTGTTTGCCCATGGCCTAAGAGACAATACAAAACAGGTATTTTGGTTACCATAATTAACAAGCAGGGCTGTAGAAAAATCCACTTCCACCTCAGCTACTCAGTAGCAACTACAAAAGACCTCTTTTATGAGATAATCAGCATGAGAACTTTATTTTTAAGGGATACAAAAGAGCTGGTTTTCCGATCAACCCCTTACTAACACTGGACAGATCATTGGACAGAATCGGCTAACCAGCATCTCCCTTCTTCATAGAGAATGAAACAAAAGAGCTATTTTTCCTATCAACACCTTACCTTTGCAAGATCTTTAACAGTCTCTGTTTTGCCTGTACCCGCAGGTCCTAGAGGAGCACCATTAAGATGAAGGTTGAGAGCCCCAGTCAAGGTCAAGTAACATCTGTCTGTTAGTGGGGTGATCACAAGTCGTGGAGAACACCCAAGGTATTCATAGCCATATTCAAACACTGCATTGCTGTGACGGACCATGCAGGAATGGCGATCATCGTTCCACTCGTAACGCAGTTGTCTGCCAAAGACACAGTATTTCATACTTAAATCTTTTTAACAAATAGCGAAGGCCGCACTGAATATCAGCCTAGGACTTGACCTAGCACTGCGAGATCTGTACAGAAAGACGTCATACAATGTACAAGATGTTTCTTTGGCATAAGTCTGCAGATGAAACCCTGGTGTGGGACCATTCAAATGAAAGCTATTGAGCAGTACTTTCATGTGGTACTGTTTATTATGCTGCACACGGTGGTTCTAGCTTTTAAGTCTGTGGATGAAACCCTAGTGTGTGACGATTCAAATGAAAGCTACTGAGCAGTACTTTCATGTGGTACTGTGCATGCTGTACATCGTTGTCTGACGTTTTAACTTGTGGATGAAACTATAACCTTTGACGGGGAGTATTTCTATATGGTGCTCTTTCTTTTATTTGCGATTATGGCTTAATTTTATTCTGCTCGCTCTACTATCTATACTACCTAGTCCATTGGAAATCCTCCATCTGATAGACCTGATTAGTAATCATTGAATCCAGGACATCTCGGGCATGTACATCAATTGTTAACAAGGCCTCTAGGGTCTGATGCTGATGAGGGACTAATGATGACGTCACCAGCTGTGACAGACTGTGAAGGACTGATACTAGCTTCTCCCTCTTGCCTTCAAGAGCATCTTTGGGTCGTGTGGTGCGGAAACAGCTTCGTACATCACGATTGAACACAATTTGGGACTGAAACGAAAAAAGAGTTTATCAGTCGACCAATTACTGTTTTGTTAACTAAAAGGTTAGACACTTGGAAACATAAGACCAAAACTTACAAGCACATATTAGGAACCTGAGAGATGAGAATATCTCAATTCACGCAGATGTCTTCGTTTTTCTCATCCTATTTCCACATCACATTACAATCCCAAAATCCATCGCCCGGTCACTTACTAATAAGCCAAATCATTTGTAAATGACTTGAATGGAAGTTTCTCGCCTATGACTCAAATAGTAGAGTTAAAACCTACAATTTTCACGCATTCGGGACCCTACGAGTGACTAAGTTAATGGCCCCAAAAATGAGAAAACGGTGTACACTTCAGCGCGCAGGAACTATAAATATTCTTCGTAGTCAAAAGGCGTCCACATGGGGTGGGGGTGTCTGTGAAGCAGGGTTCGACTGTAGTTCCAAATCTCACTGCCAAGCAATCGAACCTTTACATTCCACCACACATCAATCCTGATTTGTATTTCATGAATAACGAGTTATTTCATAGTTCATCTTTTTGGTATATTCCTTAAGCAGGGTTGATAACGTAGTAGTTGGTAATAACTTTATTAGTCAGTCCAGTACAAAAGGTTTTTCAGTAACGTAGTTCTCCGAGACAAACAAAACGCTGTAGTGTGTTATACTTACAACAGTCAAAACAGCTTGTCCTGGATGGGCCAACACCCAGTCAGAGTAACCTCTTGTGCCATAATCCACTAAGCACTTCTTCAGGTGCCTGTTAAGAATGAAAAAACGCACACTACGTCCACACTAC